CAAACCACCGGAGAAGAAGAAACGAGACGCGGCGGATATTCCAAACGAAGCTTGGAAAGGCGAAACCAATTTTGGCTGGAAGCGAAAACAACATCAGGCGCATCTCTACTTGCCATTGGAGCTTGTTCCAACGACGGAATTGTTAGGAAGGAGTTAGATCTAAAAAGTATATCTACGCGGGACGGATGCGTGAGGCAAGTATATGATAGCAGCTGATCTCCACCGTCATGACTTGACTCGCCTTCGTCTAGCAAGAAACACACGGTGGAAGAGAACCCGACACCGAAACGTGTCCGTCACACACGGCCAATATATGATCCACACATCGCGATAAACATGACAAAACTAGTAGTTCTGATTAATCCAGGCGCCGGTGAACTGCAAAAGAGAGAATCGGAGGTTGCCCTCTCACAGCATCGGTCAAAACTGGACACCGAAGAGGCGAGCTAGTGATCGGAGAAAGAGAAATTTCAACGGAATTTTTGGAGAAAAATCGTAACTTCTTGTTTGTTTTTTCATCGATATGTGTTCAAAAAGACCCGAAGATCAATCCCGTATCTGTCAGAGGAGATGCCAACCATCTCTCCTTTCTACGAACACATATCATTATTATTGTTTGTTATACGCAGCAAACTATAATCAATATATATACTGTCAAAACTTTTGACAACTTTACTGAAATAGTCAATGAAAAACTCTCAATTTTTATATAAAAATCATATATATTATTAAATAAATGAATCAACAAAACAAGATGTGGTATCAACAAAACAAATTCTGAATATGTTTTTAAAAGCTACTTTAGATAATTATTTGCTTACAATATAGATGAAACTTTTTTTAAATATGAATCGCACATGCTATGTAACAGAACAATATACCTAATAGAGTATATGGTGGGCACAAAGATCAGCATATTTTAATGATAAGAGAGGGAGCTTCTATTCTCTCTTCCTTTCTTACAAGATAGCACTTATTTATTAATTAATTTACTTAATTTTAATGACAAGATGGTTTTTTTCTTGAAAAATCATAATCCCAAGAGAGTCAAACCATTTTCTTATTAAATATCTCCCCTAACTGAATTCCTAACTCTCATGACACTTATACAAAAAAAAAACTGTAATTAATTAGTTAAATTATACAAAAGCTAATTATGATGAGTAGACTAGTCCAAGATTCCCGGACGCTGGTCGCAGGGTATCATTGTACAAAATAAAAATTAATCTATTAGGCATTTCATATATTTTTATCAATGTCATATAAATTACTAGTATATGATAAAGGATTTCATATAAATAATTTTAATATTGACACTGATAATGGCCGGTTCATATAAAAGTTTTTTTTATCAGTGTCATGTTTTGGGTTTCATGAGTTTAAGATTTCCATCATCATTGGTTAGTTTTGATGATAGTGTAAAACAATAGTGGTGTACACATATTTCGGGGGTAATATATCTTAAGTTCTTAACACTAGAGTCTAAAACCAAAAAAAATTACTTACGATTCATTACAATTTAATCAAAAGATTAAAAGAAGATATTTAGACACTAGCCTGACACATGAAACTTCGATACCGAAAGAGCTCTAAGATCAAAGACGAATCTTGTTAAACATACACGTGATTTTTGTGTCCCCCAAGACCATCTTAAGCGGTCCATGTTTTCATACTCTAGTGGGAAATCTTAATTAAAGTTACTATTAAACTAATCCGTATCGGTAATTACCAGCTTGCATATCAGAAGTCCATTATTACTTACAATTATCATCACATGCCGGACACAATCAATACATTATGTCATTATCTAATAAGTCTATAATCATTAATATTTATACATATAGCTATTATGTATTGTTATTAAAAGTATTATTTATACTCATAACATAAATATTCCACTAGGTTCTCTGATCTTTTTGTAGTAGCAGTATTTATTAACTCCATCAAAGAAAGAAGAACAAGTCATAAAATCTCTTTATTTCTCTCTTTATATGAGATATCTCTCTCTCTGGTCTATCTTCC